CTCTCCTCTCCTCTCCTCTCCTCTCCTCTCCTCTCCTCTCCTCTCTTCTTCTCCCCTCTTCTCTCCTAACCCCAGTCCTTCCTTTCTTCCAGATCAGTGATATTAAAAGACAGGCACAATTTAGTCTCAATTGAATGTAACATGGCAGCAATTTTTGCTTTTGACCTTCAAAACTGATCAAAGCCTCAATAGGCTGGAAAGGTATTTTGTCTGAATGGCCCGGGCTTTTGTCTCAACTCAGTTCCTCTTGTTAGTAAAGATCCTGCAAAGCTACATGTGTTGTATTGTAGAAAGACACATAGACCTGATTTTGAAGAGACAGAAGCATCTTTGAGTAGTTGAGGAAGGCAAATAACTTCTCATCTAATCTCAAATGATAACGCCCCCCCCCCATATTTGTTCCCAAGACTCTGCTCCCGAAGGACTTGTTTTCCGAGTTTCTGAGAGAGACTTTTAGTAATATTTCTCAGCTTAGTGTTAAGCTGACTGTCATGCTAAGAAATACTTAACTCGAATGTATGGCAGGGCTTAGCGAGGATTGGCTGTCTAAGAGGTAGCAATGGAGGGGCACAGCGAACGGGCTCCTGGAGCTGAGAGGATCATCCTATAAATACACCCGAGTGAAGCAGTGATTCCCTGGATCTTCCCAAATTTGACTCAATCTACAAAATAATGAATTACTTGAGAAATACTTAAATTGCTATCTTTATTTTCCATGTTTTGGCCATCACACTTCAAAGAGAATATTGACAAGCTAAAATTTACTGAGTGTGCAGGAACCTAGATAGTCATTGGTGTGTAAGACACAAATAAAGGACCGGCAGCCAGCTGGGCTGGTCAGAGGAAAGCTTTGAGGAGGTGTGGAGGGGGAGCTAGCTGTGGCAGCTGTGGTTGGAGGTGGAGCTACTCTGTCATGCTAAGAAAGAGGATGGGTCTAGGGACAAAAAGTCCACAAGCCACCAAACACCTTCTCATTCCGAAGGTTTAGGCAGAGGTTACAGACAAGGTCAGAGCACTTCCCAGTGTGGGCCTGTCTCTTTATCTACACAAAACTAGGGTACATACCTCCTCCTGTTCCTCCTCCTGAGACTTGAACCCAGAGTCTTGTGCATTTTAGGCAGTGCACCACCCCTGAACTCCCTCTCCGGCCCTCTTTATCATTGCGCTCTGACATGCTATCATCCCTCACAGGTTTCACGTTATTTAGATGGTCTGCCATTTCATGAAGACTTCAGTTCTTGCATTCTAATTTAAACAAATAGATCCACAGCAATTAGAAGACTTGAGAGAAACAGGGAAGAGGGGGGAGAATGCTTATTTTAATTCATTGGGTTCTAACACTTCATTTTAGAAAGTAAATGACATCAAAGTGTCATTTTACTAAGTTAAAGGCAATGTGACTCCCAGAAAGAAATTATCCCTGTTGGAGGACATATCTAATAACTTCCAGGCCCTTCGTTTGACACATAACATGCAGGAGAAATCAAGTCTCAGGTGAGACAGAGTGGCAGGATTAAGAGTAGACACTGCTTCCAGTGATACTGCACAAGCGACCTGGGTTGTTATGGTAAAGCGACTGCAGGTCTGCAGGTCTTGTAGCTTGCAGACAAGAGAATTTTTGTAGCAATTTCAGATGTAAGAATTAAAAGGAAGAAATATGAACTTGGAATGCATTTCCCAGGAGGTTCTGTGTTCCTTCATACTCTTGTCATTCAAGCCAAGGTGGGGCAAGAACTTACAGGGCTATTTCAGAAGATACCCCTTCATCTGATAGGATGATCAGGGCCTCGTGTTTATAGCGTTCCCTTCAAAAAACAAAACCTCACCTAATCCTCTCGTGACGATGAGTCACTAGAGGCACACAGAGACATGCTCAGAGGCATAAAGCTTGTTAGTTTAAGGAGTTGCCCAGTGAATACAACTAGTTGATTAGAGCAAATGCTAGTAAATGTTTACAAGTGAGATAAAAATTCAAATGGCTCCTCTATGTTCCCTCCAGCTTATTTTGTTGGTTGTTCATTTGAAGTCAAATCTCACCTCAGAGATCAGGTGGACTTGAGCTCAAGGTCCTCCTTTGCCAGCCTCCCAAGTACTAGGATGACAAGCTTGCGTCCCATGCCCAGGGTACCAGATAACCTAGCCTCCCTGATTTCATTTGGAGCCATCCCTTTCTCTTGTGCTCTTCCTGTGGTATTGGAGAGTCACAGGTGGAGTTGAGTTGTCACCACAGTCTT